GTTATATATTTTGGTTGCATTTGTGAGTTAATAAAAATGTAGATGGTTGTTTAAAATACATATATAATATCATAATACCGATATATCGATCGATATACTCCTGCATCGAATTGAATCGTAATCGTATCGTAGAATTTTTTGAGGTATCGGCAAATATCGTATCGCTGGGTATGAGAATCGATATCGTATCGCATCGTGATGAACCATCCGATTTACACCCCTAGTAATTAATGATATCATTTTCATTTTTTGCGTGAACTTTCCCTTTAATGTGAATTTAGCATTGAAAGTTAATGTGAATAAAAACATTGCAAGTTAGGCTACTAATCATAACACTTTCATTGTACAAAAAGAGAGCAAAGAACATTATCAAAGAACATTTTCACTGACAGTCTAGTCTAAACTCCCATTAAAATCACTGAAGCTGTTTATACTATGAAATTAATATCTTACAGATTCGTACACACATTTGCACTTTGTTGTTGTTTCTGACGAGAGAATTCGCTTATTAATAATAATAATAATAATTTATGCATTTAGCAGACGCTTTTAACCAAAGCGACTTACAGTGCATTCAGGCTATACATTTTTTACCAGTATGTATTAAATATAGAACATATTAATCGGCTATTTTTTGTCTTTTGGAAGCTGCATACAAAATCCCAGTGGCTCAAAAATCTTAGGGGGCACGTGCCCCCTCACTTTGAATGGGCATGATGCCTCTGTGTGTGATGGTAAAAAAAAAAAAAAGTAGGCCTAGAAAATTTCTCTAGTAGAGATAACTGTAGAAGCCTTAGAAACTTGGCACAAGATGCTCACAGTAAATTTATTTACAATTTATAAAAACAAAATAAATGAACTATTTTACATTTTTAAACAGTAACAATGTTGGTAAGGACACCAAATTGCAAAATTAAAATTGATGGTAAAACGTGAAAAGAGAAGTTACTTAAGCACAAATTTCATAATGACTAACAAATACTAAGCATGAGTGCAGCTGTTTAAAATCCTTTATGCATTTAGTTTACTGTATTTACACATTTGTTTCATAATGAGTGATTTATTAATAATTCAAAGTTCTCTTACAGATCCATTGGCGTGTAGTATCACAATGATAACGAACATTCCCTGATGCTCCCACTGCAGCACAGTTGTCAGTCCCAGACCTAAAACATTGATTTTTACACCAGTATTTATATTTTAAATAATTTAGACTGGGTTTATGATATGTATGATACTAATTGTAGATTAAAGAATATTTCACTGAAAAATGAGAATTTGCTGAAGATTTACTCCATCGAAGATGTAGATGAGTTTGTTTCTTCATCAGAACTGATTTGGAGAAATTTAGCATTACATCACTTGTCATTTCAGGAAAGCTGCATGATCACAGCACAGAACAAGCCTTGATGAAGTTGTTTCTTACAAACATGCAGCTATCCACTTGTTATGTTAATTGTTAATAATATTAATAATGTTAATTGATGGACTGGAGTGGTGTGGATTACTTGTGGATTATTGTGGTGTTTTTATCAGCTGTTTGGACTCTCATTCTGACGGCACCCATTCACTGCAGAGGATCCACTGGTGAGCAAGTGATGTAATGCTACATTTCTCCAAATATGTTGAGATGAAGAAACAAACTCTGCTACATCTTGGATGACCTGAGGGTGAGTATATTTTTATTTTTGAAAACTATTCCTTTAATTTCAGTGATCTCTTACCCATTTGGCGTTATGGTGCCATCACTCCATTCCCACCCACTCTCTGTGTTTATCAGACCAATCCAAAAATAATTGTTCTCAACAACCTTCTGCAAAAACTCCTGAAATAACAAAATAAAGGCCTATGATGCTTCATGTCTATACTATGTAGGCCCGTTTCCACCACTGAATAAAAAAAAGGTAATTGCAACTTTTTATCTAACAATTCTGACTTTTTTTTCTCGCAATTGCGAATTTACATCTCGCAATTCTGACTTTTTTTCTGAGAATTGTAAGATATAAACACAATTGTGAGTTATAAACTCAGAATTCGTGGTTTGCATCTAGCAATTCTGACTTTTTCTCTGAGGAAAAAAGTCAGAATTGTGAGATGTAAACTCACAATGGCGAGAAAAAAGTCAGAATTGTTAGATAAAAAGTCACATTTACCTATTTTTTTATATAGTGGTGGAAACGGGCTTACATATTATACAGTATATCATGTAGATTTATATTTATATAGTATATATATATATATATATATATATAGTGCCGATTGAAAGTTTGTGAACCCTTTAGAATTTTCTATATTTCTGCATAAATATGACACAAAACATAATCAAAATTTCACACAAGTCCTGAAAGTTATTTTGTGGAAGGACCTGAAGCAAGCAGTTCATAGAAGGAAACCTACCAACATTACAGAGTTGAAGTGGTTCTGTACTGAGGAATGGGTTAAAATTCCTACAAGCCGTTGTGCAGGACTGATCAGCAGTTACAAGAAACGTTACTTGCAGTTATTGCTGCAAAAGGTGGTCACACCAGATACTGAAAGCAAAGATTCACATACTTTTGCCACTCACAAATATTTAACACCGGATCATTTTTCTCAAGAAATAAATGACAAAGTATATATATATTTTTTGTCTCCTTTGTTTGATTAGATTCTCTTTGTCAACTTTCAGGACTTGTGTGAAAATCTAATTATGTTAAAATTATATTTATGCCGAAATATAGAAAATTCTAAAGGGTTCACAAACTTTCAAGCAGCACTGTATATTAATCCCTCTTTGTGTTTGTGTGTGTGTGTGTGTAGTTGGTCTTTTCTCAATAAATAAATGACAAAGTATATATATATTTTTTTGTCTCCTTTGTTTGATTAGATTCTCTTTGTCAACTTTCAGGACTTGTGTGAAAATCTAATTATGTTAAAATTATATTTATGCCGAAATATAGAAAATTCTAAAGGGTTCACAAACTTTCAAGCAGCACTGTATATTATATGAACAAACACACAAAATTTCATTGTCGCTCACTTATTCCCCGTCTTTGTTTATGATCACCAGATCTGCTCCTCTCTGTTGACAGTCTCTGCTGCTGTCACTCCAGCTCTTCTTCTCAGATGAAATATAATAAAAACTGAAGTTGTAGTAAATCCATTGGTAGGGTTCCCCTTGCTGATCTGTTAATACAACTGGTTATTAAAGTATTTTATTAATACTTGAGGGCAATTAAAAAGACAATTACCTTGTTCATAAAGCCAACTATGCAGTCGGTTCTTGTCATTCCTTAACTGCACTCTTTCTTCAGTCAGATTATTGCTGTGGTTCAGTACCTGCTCATATTTGGTGAGAATATGCTCTCTTTCCTCAGTCAGGTTACTGATGTGAGTTAATAACTGCTTTCTCTCGGAGGTGAAACACACACACAGCACTATTACAGCAGTCAGCAGAAGAAAACACAGCAGACACAAACACACTTCAGCTGCTCTGTGTGTTCTGTTCTTCACTGAGACACTTCCTGTGGATGACAGACACAAAATGAAATGTGTCTTCACACTTATACTTCACTATTATGACTTTACATCAAGAACCAGTCTTGGGGAAAGTTACTTATAAAAGTAATGCATTACAATATTGCGTTACTCCCTGAAAAAGTAACTAATTGCGTTACTTAGTTGTTTCCTATAAAGTAATGTGTTACGTTTAACACCATAACAATGTGTTACCTTACTCCCGATTTCTCTTAGTGCGGACAGGAGAGCTGTCAGTCAATAAATGGGAAAACTAAGTAACTTGCGTTACTTATTTGAAAAAGTTAACTCGGATATGACTTGTAAATTAAAAAGTAATGCGTTAACATTACAAGTTAAAAAGTAATTTGATTACATAGCTTGCGTTACTTGTAATGCTTTACCCCCAACACTGTCAAGAACTTTGTTTTATTCTTAAAAGATACTGAAATAGTTTTGTCTGACTGTTATAATGTATCCGATAAATTATGTTAGTACCTGTGTGTCGAAGTGGCTGCTGTTTTTCTGTGACCCTCAGATCAAGACGTCCTACAGTATCTACATTGTTATAAATAACTTCAGGTGTCTCTGATCTCTCTCTGTCAAACATTATAACCCTGTATTAATGTAGTAGTTTGTTTAGGCTGCACTGCTCTGCTCTTCAGTTCTGCTTTTTATGGATAGGTTGAGACTATATAGCAGTATACAATTTTCAGGGCATAAGATGGGAAGCACATGATCTTGTGACATAACGGTTTGTGGCTTTGTTGTCTTTGCTTCTGTTTTTTGAGGTTATAACACAAGTTTTCCAGTTCCTTTTATTTGTTAACTGGTAAGTTGCAACACTCGTCTGCATCATTTTCAGAACTGAGTGTGCAATTTTATCCTATCAAAAACTTCATATAAAGTTAATTTCTGCAGGAGATTTAAGTCCAAATGTTGCCAGCGTTTCAGTGTTTTGAGGTTTGGGGGCACTAACAAAGTCTGGGCCAGATCTGGGAAACCTAATAAAACTACCAAACATAAAAATCTTAAATTTAATTACATTTCTGATTGCCAAACTAATTTTCCTACTGTGGCAGATATGTCAAGTCAAGTCACCTTTAATTATATAGTGCTTTATACAATAATAAGATTGTGTAAAATAGGCCAGTTAGTGGCGTTCAGATTAGTCATCACTGAAATGCCGGAGGTTTGTTCAGTGTACGCGCTCACTGTCTGCTTCTGCTCTCTCGTGAATTCTCTCATCATTAAACAACAAAGTGCAGATGTATGTGTGATGTAAATAAGTGTTTAATTTCACTGTGTAGACAGCTTTATTGATAATAATGGGAGTTTTTGAGAGTTTAAACTCACGCTAGACTATAGTCAGTGATAATGTGATTTTATACATGCTCTTTGCTCTCTTTCAGCATATAATTTATTCACTGGTTGGTTAGCCATGGAAATTAAACAAAATAATGAAATATTTAGTAACTTACAATGTTTTTATTAAACTGTGATCACGTTAAAGTCATAGGTTGTTAAAATATTTTGACATGACACCCAGATCTGGTACTTGCCTAAAAAGACGGGTTTATGATGTACAGTATAGTTAATAGATTACACCAACATTATAGGCTACTTTTAGCCTTGGTTCACCACCTATGCTGAATCATCTGAAGAAGTTTCACAGTCAGTAAACCAAACAAGAACACAGAGATGAAACTGTGCTGGATGAAGTGGATAATCAACTACAAACAACTGAAACAAAAGACTACATTTTGAAAGTCAACTTTAAAAAAATTCATCCGAAATGGTTTTTGTGTCCACCCGCACCCGCGTTTTCAGTTGTTTTCCTATGGGAAAATGCAATGGATGTCTTTGACCATTCCATTGCTTTTTGCCGTTTTCAGGGTTAAAAGATTTTTTAAGCGTCTAGAAATACCTTCATTAAAAAAAAGGTATCTCTGTGCATACCTCAGCTGAAATCCTGCAGGCACCCCTGGCAGTGACCATCTGAATAAGAATGAAACGGACTAATATTAGCATAGATGCCATTCTTCTTATGATGCAGCAATTACATTGAGTGTTATGGGAAGTGTTCCCGGTTCCGGTTGACCTAGTTAATGCAGCATAACAATCCTTTAACGGATTTGAATTATAGAAATGTGATAGTGTATTATGTGTAAGCTATGTTAAAGAGATCTTTAATCTAGATTTAAACTGACAGAGTTTGTCTGCCTCCCAAACAACATTAGGTAGATTGTTAGGTAGATTGAGTTTGGGAACTAAATAGGAAAAGGATCTACCGCCTGCAGTTGATTTTGATATTCTAGGTATTATCAAACGGCCAGAGTTTTAAGAGCGCAGCAGATGTCAAGGACAATAATGCGATGAGAGCTTGCTCAAGTACTGAGGAGCTAAACCTTTCAGGGCTTTATGAGTAATAAGCAAGATTTTAAAATCTATACGATTTTTTATAGGTAGCCAGTGCAGTGTTGACAGAACTGGGCTAATATGGTCATACATCCTGGCTCTAGTAAGAACTCTAGCTGCTGCATTTTGGACAAGCTGGAGTTTGTTTATTAAGCGTGCAGAACAACCACCCAATAAAGCATTACAATAATCTAACCTTGATCATGAACGCATGAATTAATGTTTCTGCATTTGACATTGAGAGCATAGGTCGTAATTTAGATATATTTTTAAGATGGAAAAATGCGGTTTTACAAATGCTAGAAACGTGGCTTTCAAAGGAAAGATTGCTGTCAAATAGGTTCCTAACGGATGACGAAGAATTGACAGAGCTGCCATCAAGTCTAACATATCCTAGTAGTCTAGGTTGTTACATACAGAGGTTTTTGGTCCGATAATTAACACCTCTGTTTTGTTTTTTTTCAGAATTTAGCAGTAGGAAATTACTAGTCATCCAGTTTTTTATATCAACTATGCATTCCATTTGCAAATTGGGTGCAAAATAATTGCTAATACAGTAGCACTAATAGAGAGATACAACCATGCTCGGATGATAAGAGCAGGTCATTTGTAACTCTGATGAGAGCAAGGGAGATTCGAGATAGGTCTGTAATTGACTAATTCTCTAGGATCAAGATGTGGTTTTTAATGAGAGGCTTAATCACAGTTTAAAGGTTTTGGGACATATCCTAATGACAATGACAAATTAATAATATTCAGAGGAGGATCTATGACTTCTGGAAGCACCAATTTTAGCAGCTTAGATGGTATAGGGTCTATACATGTTGGTTTAGATGATTTAACAAGTTTATACAATTCTTCTTCTCCTATAGCAGAGAATGAGTGGAATTGTTCCTCAAGGGGTCTATAGCGCACTGATGCGATATTGTAGCTGACGGCTGCATGGTTATAATTTTATCTCTATAGTATCGATCTTGGAAGTAAAGAAGTTCATAAAGTCATTACTGCTGTGCTATTCAGAAATGTCAGTGCCTGTTGATGCTTTATTTTTCATTAATTTAGCCACTGTACTGAATAAATACCTGGGGTTGTGTTAGTTTTCTTCTAAATGAGATGAAAGTAAGCAGATCTAGCAGTTTTTAAGTCTTTTTTTAGAGGAGGAAGTACTTTCCCTCCATGCAATACAAAATACCTCTAGTTTTGTTTTCTTCCAGCTGCGCTCCATTTTCTGGGCTGCTCTCTTTAGGGCACGAGTGTGCTCATTATACCATGGTGTCTGACTGTTTTCCTTAATCTTCTTTAATGTAAAGGAGCAACCGTATTGAATTTGCAGCTTTAGCTATATGGAGAATACTCGAGACTAGATAATGATCTGAGATATCATCGTTTTTGTTGCACAATTTCAATGGCATTAACATCAGTTCCATGTAACAGTATTAAATTCAGAGTATGATTATGACTATGACTAGATCCTGATACGTGTTGTCTGACCCCAATAGAGTATAGAATGTCTATAAATGCTGATCCCAATGCATCTTTTTCATTATCTACAGGGATATTAAAATCGCCAACAATTAATACTTTATCTGCAGCCAGCACTAACTCAACTAGCAAATTCTTTGATAAAGTCTGTATGGTGCCCTGGTGGCCTGGTGGCCTGTACACAGTAGCCAGTACAAATGTCAGTATGGATTTATCATTAACACTTATTACTCTAGATAATGTTACATAAAGCACCATTACTTCAAATGACTTGAAATCAGACTTCTGAGAAATACTGAAAATATTACTATAAATTGTAGCAACACCTCCCTCTTTACCTTTTAAATGCGGCTCATGTTTATAACAGTAATCTTGGGGGGTAAACTCATTTAAAGTAATGTATTCATCTGGTTTTAGCTAGGTTTCTGTCAAAGAGAGCACATCTAGTTTTTGATCTGTGATCATATAATTTACAAAAAGCGCTTTAACTGAATTCTGTGACATGAGGCGGCTAGCAGACGGTCAATCTGCTTCCTGACCTGTGCCCCAGTTAGTCAAGTACAAACTCTTAAGACTATGTGCCATATTTCTAGGGAGAAGAGCGGCAATTAGCATTAGCCAGCTCTTTCAAATTTGCCAAGATGTCAGGAGCTCTGGCTCTTGGTTAACATTGGACTATGGTGGCTGGTGTCTCTATTAAAGGGGTGGATTCTGGAATCCGCTATTTTCATGTTCTGTACAATAGAATTGCCTAGGGCACTTTCATCGGGTATATGTAAGTATATGAAAATGCATATTTTTCAATTAAAGACAACTTATAGACTTAATATGGGCTGCTTTTGGTACTTGACATTTTGTGTTTCAAAAATAAGGTCCAAGTTAAAGAATACGTTAGACTTTTTTTTTTAAAGTCAAAACACGGAAAGGTGAAGGGAATAGGCGTTAGTGCGAGTGACCAGCTGGCACAGGATTCCACAGCCTTCCTTTAACAGTTATGTTCACAATTTCACAATTATCACATTTGAATCCCTTGCCGCTGACAGCGAAAGCTACACTAAACGTGGCAAGCAGTGCAACTGACAATAACAGAAGTCATGACTCACCGCGATTGTTGAATGATTCCGACTTACCACAGTTGTTTGATGAACTCGTGAAAAGCGGAGCGAGAGAGAGAAAAAGAGATGGTAGGAAACGCGAATAAGCTAACAGAATGCTAATGCACTGCGCAAGTGGTTTAGATTAAAAGGTCCCACTTTATAGGTGGCCTTAACTATGTACTTACATTTAAATTAATCATTTGGTACAATGCACTTATTGTGTACATACATTTTTTACATTGTACTTATATTTTTAAAAATACCTCTATGTAATTAATTTCTGTAATTACATTTATAATTACACTGTTGACCCATCCCTTACACCTTAACCCACCCTTAAACCTACCCATACCACCAAACCTGTCCCTAACCTTACCCGTATCCCACCTCAATAGCAGCAAAAGTGTTTTGCAATACAATATGTACGCAATAAGTACATTGTACTTATTTTTTGATGCAAGTACATAGTTAAGGCCACCTAATATAAAGTGTGACCGATTAAAAAGCGAACAATGTCAAATTAGTTTGTTAGATAATATCAGAAGTATGGTGATAATTAAGTTATATTTTAGCGGTTTAAACAACAGAGTGATAGCAAGATAGAGATCACAACAGAAAGAAAAAGCTACATGGAGCAACAATTGCAAACCACCCAGCAGCATGGCAGACAGGAACTGTCACTCCTCATTTCCATCACGCAAACATATATTTAAAACCTTTTTTGTTCTCTGAATTGCTGATGGTAATGACAGCAGTATTGGGGACAATCTGACTATTATAAACCTTCTGCGTCGTGTAATTAATATTTATTAAACAATAAAAGAAAAGAGGGAATGACTCAGCTCTTGACTAAACAGTTTTTGTAGCTTTAACAATCAGTAATATGTAAAGAATACATACAATAAAGTCAATGCAGTGATTATTTTTTACATTTGATTACTCAATTTCTGTTTTTATTGTGTCGTCCTGGATTTACTCCAAAAGTTACACAATAGCCCAGGAAGACATGAAAGATTTTCTGTTGATATTTAATTTAAATAAATAAAAGGATAAAATCATTAATACTAACATGAAATAAATACATTGAGTTATTGTGTCACTTTGTTTCAACACTATATGAAATAAATCTTCAGAGTCATATTTTAGTATAAATACTATATTTTTATTTAAATATTTTACAACTTGGAAAACATATTTACAGGAACTTTTCTTGCATTGTTACACTGTACACACAAAAAGTGTAGTTCTCATTCGCACATTGTCTGCTTCAGAGACTGACAGACTCATCTTGACTGCAGACAGCACCATAGAAACCATCAAATGAGAGAAGGACGGATGATACAACCAGAATTGAGGACACTGCTGTAAGCGACACTCAGACGAGACACACAAGCTTTGCCACACAAAGGCCTCTGGATGAGACAGTATGAGATTTTAAGGCGCAAATGGCATGTTGATTTGTATGATGGATGCACTCCTGGTTCACTCACAGTGAAACACAGACACAGATCTGAGTGGCGTTCAGTCACTATCAGCCCAACTCAGGGAGGCAACGTTCCTGTTTTGAAATGATGATGTAGGAAAATTGTACTAGAATTGATAAAAGCACATCTGAAGGTTTTGGACAAGTCATGACAAGAGAATTCAGAAAAATGTGTGTTGTGTGTGGCAAACAAAGTGGCAAAAATCCAGACACAAAAGGTTCAGTCACAACACCATCTCATGCAATGACACTCACTAATGGCGAAACGTGACAATTTACGCACCGCCAGAGACACCAAACAGAATTGCAAAAATAATGTTTTCTTCAGTTGCACACTAACTGGTTTGTTTTTCAAACTCTATCTCTGGGACTGATTTTATCATTTAACAAGTAAAAAATCTGATCAGTTTGTTCAAACAGTCAATATCCAGTGTTATAGTACATAGGTTGGAATACAAAAATACCTTCTTTAAAGGGGTCATCGGATGCCCATTTTGCACAAGTTGATATGATTCTTTAGGGTCTTAACTAAAAGTCTATAACATACTTTGGTTAAAATTTCTCAATGGTAGTGTAAAAAACACCTTTCTAAACCTATCAAAATCAGCTGTTTTCAGCACGCTGTTCTAGTCCATGTTGATTTAAATGCTAATGAGCTCTGCTGACCCCGCCCTTCTCTTCCGTGAGGTTATGAGCAGACTGTAAACTTCATCCGCGAAACTGGCTAACTAGCACATTATTAGGAAAGGCGATTTGCAAAGATTCATAAACAACCCTTATACTCACTTCTTCTGTAGGTGAGGGTGGATCACGAATGATTCGCGCAAACTTAAAATGCATTTAGGCAGATCGGGGATCGGCGCATTCACTTCAAAGCAAAAGTAACGTTAATCCTCTGCGTCTTCAGCGGCTCAGATGTCGGGAGTAAATGACGACTGCTATATTAATTATTACATCCAACAACAAAGCACCTCAATCGCTTAATCGGAGACATCTTGTCTTCCCCTGCACCGGAGTCGACACAATGGCGGACAGCTCACAGCTCACTCAGGGCGGGTCTAAGGTAAGACAGCCTTGTCCGTCAACTATCGTGTGAGCAGCCTGTGCAGAACTACGTCATTCTGACAGGAATCTCAGAACAGCCTGATTTGAGAAAGGGGATTTTAAAATAGGGATTTAAAAAAAAAAAATCACTGAGTGAATTTTTATCATTATAGGATGGATGTGTACACACACTTCCAACACACATTTATGTTCAAACAACTTGAAAAGTGAATTTTGCATCCGATGACCCCTTTAAGAGTATTAAGAGTAATTAAGAGTAGCTGTCAATATAAAGAGAAGACCAACTTGAACATTTGCCTCTTGGGGAAAAAGTGATCAAAAATTAGCAGGCTATATTCGGACACAGACTGATCAATATGCAATTTATGTTGCATTACAACATTACATTGAGACATATTCCAACAAATGCAAAAATGACTATAATTGGATTTCAAACCACCATGTGTTGTTTAGATCAGTTTTTTAAATTATATTATTTATAATTTAATTAAATTTTTTGGGTGATGCTAATACTTCATTATTTTATGGCATTTCTGATCCAAAATAAATCATCCCAATTCTTATTGTCGGACCAAACCAAAAAGTCATTACTCCAGCAAACTGTTAGCTCCGCCTTAAACTAATGCCATTGGTTGAGTTGTTCAAAAAACACAAACAAACAAGCAAACAAAAAAACAAAACAAATTGCAATTCTGTTTGCTGCCTCTAGAGGCGCTGATATCACACACATCACCTTTGACTAAAATAAAAAGACAACTAAAACATTTTCGACCTAGATCACACATTTGGTAATTGACAAGTACACAACTGAATAACCATTACATATGACTGGCTGTTTAGTTGATTTCCATTTCATTTATCTAGAAAGAAAAGCAGATTTGGGACACTATGGTAATTCCGGCAGATACTCTTAACATTTAAAGATTCAACTGCGGTCTTTTAGATGACAGTGAGACATTGGATGAGAAAACCTTGGTCATGCTGGTCTTATGGCTTTCCTGCTTTGGTTTTCTTTACCGATTACACAATGTTGATTTTAACATGACCACAACCCACAAGACGTCACACATAATAAGAGACCACAGTTCTGGTCGAATTGTGTTGCAGGCACAACTGAGGACTTGATTATAGTCCTCTCTGTCTGTAGGTGAATAGCCATGCCTTTATGGAACATATCAGGACAGCAAACCTCACAAAACATTGAGTTCCATGTTTATATAGGATTTTAAGTATGAAAGCTTTAAAGAATATTTACTCATGACCTATACATATATCAATAATTTTTGACATACTTAACTGAGGTTTGCCATCCTGGGCATGCACAATATTTCACATACATTGGAGAAACAAAACTAAAAAGACATTTTAAAAATCTGTATTGCTTTATGTTTTTCCAATCTCAATAAACTGGACAAAAATATAACAATTATGTATAGTTAATGCTTCTCATAGAATCAGTGTTCCATTTTATCCAAAGACTGCAAGCCAATCACACTCAACGGTCTGCATGAATTGTCGCTTTCGTGAAATAAAATCGCCATCAGCGCACCCATTTTTTATTGTACAGGTAAAAACATTCATATAAATAATGTAGTCACTCACACATTTATAATTTACAAAATTAAAGCAGCACATGAGTGTGAAAAATTTCTCTAGAACCAATCTAGAGCGACACAGGAAAAACAAAAACCGTTAGATACCCTTCAATCAATTAAAAAAATAACGCAAGCCTCGCTAGGGAGCACAGAAAACGGCGAAAGGCCTTATGGTCGATCCGTAAAGACCAGCGTTCCCTGACTTCTGCATTCTGTTGAATCTTGTCCACTAAAAGCTAAATATTTATAAAAAATAAAACATTTATTTAGATACCTGACCTTTCAATTCATGAAAAGCATTGCCAGATGCTAGCCATTTGTGCGTGTAGACTTTCAAACTCAAGGGTCGAGAGGTGAAGTCATGCAAATATACATCCAACACGCATTCACAGTCAACATCCACCATCCCCGTGAGCGAGTGTAGCTGTCTATCAGTGGATTGTGACATTCTCTGGTACAGATCTTAGTCAGGTTTGACACCATATTGAAAATAAGGATGCCAGGGATATACTTAGTCTTTACGAACTGTATAAAGGTCCTAGACCATGTAATTTTCACCAAATCACAACTTTCAAAAGTTGCGTTTTTGTCTACGTAACATTTTTCAGAAAGACGTTTTGTCAGCTGATCAATCGGTTTGATGTTAAACAGTACAATCCACTGAACGCACTGTACTTCTAACCCTCACAGCCTCAGTTTCATTCCTGTCAAAACTTAAATATGGCACTACACTGACTAAGGTCTACGATGTCTGTGCAGTTCAGTTTCTATCTTTTATAACCAAACACAAGCTGTACATTTAACCCATCTCCTTCCTGCCTTTCAACTTGCAATCCATCATCCAAGACCTCACAAAGTGATGGTGTAGATGAAGATTGTCTAACTAGAGGTAGATATTCTGGCTGAACAGAACTAGCCAGCACATCCTAAAGCACTTGCATTTCGCAACAGGTTTAAATCTAGCTAAGCCTCTTTCCGAACTTTTATCTACCTTTCTATTACAGCTTAACCAAACAGGACACGTTATACACGTACACACAAAAACACAGAGGCACTCCAGCACATAGAGGCTTCAGAGATGCTTAACTTCTCTCTCAAGACATAGACAACCAACCATTTAACAACAGCTTTTCATTTGCACAAGCCACACGAGTGAATATGACAGCTTCTCCCATTATAAACCACTTTTTGTGGGTAATGCATGGCTCTCCTTGCCCCTTGGAAAAATAGAAATGACTCAAATTCACAACACGGGTTGAAGATTCCCAAAATCCTTTTGGACACAAATGAGGTCATCAATTGTGGACTGTTTGTACCGCTTGCATCACCACCCACACCAGTGAGTTCATGTTATCCTCCTCCCTGCGTTGACTGGAGATCTACTCGAGAAATGGAAGAATGGAAAGTGGTGCTGGGAGAAGTGAGATGGGGAGCAGTGCAATTGGAGAGGGGTGGAAGACACAGGTGTAAGAGAAGAGCAAGCACCACTGAGCGCGCTCAGTCTGTGTATTCTGCCACAATGGACAGAAGCACTGTGATGTCGTCAGGCTTCCCCCCTGAAATGAAAATAGACCAATTACAAGGTCAGTACCGCTGATTATGGATATTCAAAGAGGTTTTGGAATGAGAAAGGTAATGGAAGTCAAGAACCTCTTTTTGAAGACTCACCTCTTACATTCAACCCGTTGTCACAGGCAAACTGGGCGAAAGGGGACATGTAGTTGGGGTCGTAGGCCAACTCATGGGCCTGTTCAGCAATGCTGCGGGCAGTCTGCTGGATACTATCATAGTTGGTGTTCTGAGGCAAAATAAATATAAAAAGAGAGATAAATAAAATGAAAAACCTGGAAAGTACCCACCGATATTATACCGATATATCGGCCAGGGAGATTAATCGGCCATTATATGGCTATTTTGAGATTATCGGTATAGGAAGATAACCTGAAGATAACCTGAAAAAGGTGGAAATCCTACTAATAACCAAGTATAGTGTTAAGCCCTATTCGGACGGTAATTGTTTCTCAGGGGGACGTAAGTGATTTTCACCATTTACAGGGGGTAGTTGGTGATTTAATAGCCGTCCGAATACAGGATGTCGGTGTTTTTCTCTCACCACCCCAGTAAAAATCCCCAGCCGAATTACCTACGGTTTTTTGACAAACACCAAGGTCGTGTGGTAATTTAATTGCCGTCCGAATCCACATCTCTGAGTTTACGAGAAGAAATCGATTCAAAATTCAGCTTAAACCCTTTTTGAGCACTCCCGAACACCGTAAGGTACGTTAACTGTTGTACTTCGGTGTAATTTGCATACATATTTATTTCTGAAATGCTGGAAAGTATTTAAAAGAACAATGCTTCATAACTGCTCACAGCGACTGGGAGCAGAAAGAAAAGAAAAGCACGCAAACATTCGAAATGGGTCTTTATTATGGCAGCAGCAGGTATGCAATACAATTTTAAAAATAGGATCACAGAACTCACTCCTCCTCTGTGAATAGATCGCATCCGAATCCATGAGTTTTATCATTGAGGTGATATGTAAATTTATTTTTACAGACGTCCATATGAGAAACAATTACCATCCGAATCGGGCTTTAGACTGATATATCAGCCATTTTGATTCTAAATTTATCGGTATCAACCGATAATACAGCCCTGCATCTTGAAAAAAAACTAATATTACCAAATTTGATAATGTTGAGTTACCAAAAGCTTGTTTTAATGACAAAAAGTACTCCAAATGCATCATTTAACTTAGAATCTGCAAAGGAGTGGAAAAAAATGAAAAACAGTATAAGGCATAAAATAATGTCTTCACAAGTATTATATATGCGAAAATTGGCTGAGAATTGAACAGAGATGTAACCTAGCCCCGAGGAAGACAGATAATCAAGTCTTCGTGGCAGTTTTTTGGTGATTAAGGGATAATACAAGATTTCTTCACTGTACAAACGGTTGTCAAAAACCGTGAGAAAATGTGACGTGCTTGAGCAAAACGGGCACTATTTTTGATATCAGCATCCCTAAATTAGTAAGAAACAAGTATTGTTGCTGAATGCTGATTTCATTCAGCAAATATGATGCAGGACGGTGTAATTGTGAACACTGGTCCCCTCAGGTCCAATTGCATCTTATTCGCGATCATAACATTGTGTTATATCCACACATATGTGATATCAGCCACGCTAATCTCTATAATATTGGTATAAGCCAAAAACCAAATCAGTTGACTGTCGCCCAAGCACCCTCACATTTAATGCAAGTACTGTCTGTACCTTGAGTTTCTTGAGTTCTTGCAGGATCATGTAGTCAGGCATGTTGTCAAAGAGGCCGTCAGTAGCGGTCAAAATGATGTCCCCTAATTGGACATCAAAGGAAGAGCTATCTGCCGCCTCAGGACTGAAAGAGATCGACAAAAAGATTTAGAATTACACTTCTGTAGAGCATATGCCAATACCAGAATATTTTAATTACTATGCCACCCACATACCCACGATTGATGCCAAGTTATGAACACTGTTATGAAAAATAAATTTAACCTTCTGAATTACACTGATAAAAAAAAAAAAAACAATATGTTAAGCATAAAGGACCTGCAGTTCTCAGATTAAGGTCTATAGGCAAAAATCCAGTAATTTTGTAGAAATGCTAATGGAAAAACAATGATCTAATCAACTAAATTAGACTGAGATACTTGATCAGGGTTGAAACTCAAGCAGTAGTGCAAAAGGGTAACAGGCCAGAGATCTAAACGGAGGGTAATGGACACTTGGGTTTAAGAGAACTTGTCCAGACCCAACATGACCTCTGGACCAAATCCAATCAGTCAGGTTGTTTTCTTGGAAACCAGACAGGCCTCTTTTCAAGCTCCAAATCCCTTGAGTTTTAGTTTAATCTGTCTTAGTGCACTGGGTAAGTATTGGTGCTCTGATTATGGGTCACATTTAAGAAAGCAAAAAGAGGACATTTGCTTATCTGTTCAAAACTTGCTGCTATTATATTAGATGGCTTTGGGTGTTTTCCAGAGCTCTATGGCAGTCTATCATATTTGTTTGTAGGGCTGCCCCCGACTAAAGATTTGTCTAGTAGACTAATAGTCTATTAATTTAAGCCGTTAGTCAACTAAATCACGTTTGTACTAATCTAATTACTTAAATATATACATGGGGGGCCTTTAAGATATAGCCTGTTCTGCGTTCAAGTGCACACATAAAACTAGCCGCAAAAGTAATGACAATGTATTGGAAAAAATAGCAAGGAGATATTTTAGATATTAATAAAAGAGTGTTTTCTGAGTCACTGCTAGCTGCAAAGATGAAGCTGACGACGCCGACTCATCTTCAGAGATGGATTTACATATGGATTACATGAGTGTTCATTTTTGATTTAAATTAGTTTGTTTAAAAGTAGACATTTCAAGCTTTTTATAGATATTTCTCATGTCTGAGGCAAGTAGTCTATAGTTGGTTCATTTTTGTGACGCGGACCAGTACAAGCACCAACCATTAACAATCTAAAACAACAATTTATTGGTACTAAGAATACTGTTGCTTTTTGTATGATAAATTGTTTCTCAGCTGAATTGTCTTTGGATTAAAACATCTGCTAAATGACTAAACAAACAATCATTTCGATCTCAGAAGACCTGCAACACCCGATCTTGATCTTGATTCCAAAACTCAATGTATTTTTTTTTTACTAAATCACTGCCACAGAACTCAAAGCACCTGAGAGGCTTCAAAGTAAATAGACAAATGCATGTAATTCTACTTGTAAATGGATATTTTAGTGCCAATGAGGCACACTTAGAACCCAACACTCAGGTCAAGCTCAGGTCAGATTTCCTGCTGCACATGAGAAAGTTAGATGAGTTTTTTCAGTGGAGGTCTGCCATAACAGACTCTGGACGACATAAACTAAAGGTCCCACATCAATTTAGCAGGACATGTGGAGCTTAAAATAATCACACCCTCTACTGGGACTCAGGAAAAAAAATGTAAACAAGTGTTCAGCACAATGCTGATTGGCAGAGGGGAATGGGTTTGCTTCGCCACCCTCTCTCTTTGATTGGAGGTTTTGGGTATTTGCGCGTGAGTGTTTGGATGTGTGCCCCACGGCAAGACCGTGGCATCGAGGAACTAGAATCACATGGCCTTGACATTAAAGAATTGGGCCAACACTCCCTCACAGTGCTTTAAGCAGAACTCTTTGGCTGTTCTCACTTCTACAGGGTTCAGGAGAATCTCAGCTAATACCTGCTAACACTGCTCAATCTAATAAGTGTCCACGATAAAGAAAAAAGAAAAATAATGCAAGTTTAATGTTCTTAGAAATTCAGAAATGTTTTTTAAAAAATCATACAATTAGAAAAGTTTATATTTAAGACTCTAAAAAAATGGTGTAACCATGATTAAGTATAAACATTCACCTTAAATATATGGTTATGCATGTTAATTAATTATTTAAAATATAGGTTTCATTTTTTTCTTAATTCATGATTTTCGGAGGTCGTATGTCATTTTACAATCTCCAATTAACTTGATTTATTGACCTTGACACAGTCAAGGGGGGTCTGCATATCTCTATGACATTTCCTGTTTTTTTGTTTTCCTTTCAGCATGTTTCTGCACATTGGTTGCATCACATGACTTATCAAATGTTTTACATTTGTTTAATATTTTAACAAAACTTCTTAACTGCTTAAACAGTAATAGTAGATTATGCCAAACAACCAAATAAAGATATAATCTTACTACAATATCAGTACAATATCCCCCCCAAAAAACACTAAAATGTTTTATATTAGACGCTATATTAAATATTAAAGTCTTTTTTTTAAATAAAATAAAAACTTACAAAAAAACTATTTATAAAATAAAATAAATAAAATACTTGCTACAGCAGAGGTGTATTCAAGTCATTATATGTATTAATTGCATATTTTATGTATTTTTAATAAATTAATAGATCTAGTAGAGAAAGAGAAGACAGAGAATGATGGCAGTAAGGGGGGAACGTAATAAATCAAACTCACATAGCCTGCATAAGCACCAGATCAACCTACAGTAGGTGCATCTTACACTATTAATTGATGTAAAAGTCACATGGCCCCACGCGCAGATGTCTGTGACACTGATCTGTGACACACAACCAGCTGTGATACTGCAGTGAGTGTATCCGCTATCAACGAGTGTCACCAACCCACCTGTCACTCAACACCACGCCCTCTGCCCCCGGCGGGGCTATGGACAGCTGGAAGGGTGTGTTGAAGTAGTGTTGCTGCTCGTCTGACCGATGGACCACCTCTCCACCCCGAACCACCAAGAAGCCTGAGTCTCCCAGATTGCAGGTGTGTATCCTGTGACTCCGACGATCCAGAACGACTATGCAAGCTGTGCTACTTCCTAGAAAAGACAGAGAGACAAAAAGAAATAAATTAAACAAATAATATACATAGATTTTTTGTAATTGAAGCTATAATACATAACTTTTTATATGCAAATGAAACAATTTACACTTTCCTTTTTATTCACTCACAAAAACAGTTGAACCTTTGTCCCCATAACATAGTCATGTAACCTACATACTGTGCGCGACAGCATGTCCTCACAGCAAGCGGGTGCCGTGATGCATTGTGGCTCCTATTATATAAGAAGCTGTCTACACTGCAAGCAGCATGACGTCTATGCAGGTAGAAATTGTTGTATGTAAAGTATGTGGGGGGACAATCACGTCCACTGTAAAAATACCACCACCACGTGTTAACAAACATCTGCAATAGGGTTGGGCCGATAGACGATGCCATCACGATGTTAAGCTGAAAGATGTGAACTTTCATGTACTGTAATGCAACAGGTTACCGCTAGCAAGTGGCTAACCTTTTAGTGGCTCCGTAGAACGCTTTATTTGTTTCACGCTTCGGGCACACCCCTAACCCCACCCCCCAATGTCATCATCCATCACAATGTTTCACTGCAGACATCGTCCGATGCCAATTTGGTAGACATCGTCCAACCCTAATCTGCAAGCATAACTGACAGTAGCTGGGTTTCCATCCAAAGTTGCGAATTTAATTTATTCGCAAAATTGGAATATCGTATACAACATTTGCGAATAAGCACCATTTGCATCCAACGAGTCAAAGAGAACAAAATCGTCACTTCCTCATAAACTGGCACTAAATATCACTAAGAAAAGTAGAAGAAGCCACTGAATATAATAATTTTCATATATAATAAATCACTTTGCTCGGGCATTTCAGAGTGACCATAACAACATTTCAGATGCTGTGGAACAAGATCTCCCATTATTCGCACAAGTCAAAAACCACCACAAGCGAGCGTAAAAGCTTTTGCGAATTAAGGAATTTTTATTTGAAATTTGGCATTTCCATCACTCATTTCTAAAGTGATACTTCAAAATGTGCATAAAAACAGGGTGATGGAAACATAGCTACGGGCAAAAAGTAATGTAAAAGTAACATGTACTTTTCATAGAACACAATCGGTAATGCTTTACAATATGGTTTCGTTTGTTAACATTAATGCAAACTAACTTTTACAGCGATTTTGTCAATCTAGGTTAATGTTGATACATAAACATACCATTGTTTATTGTTACATTTGTTCATATACATCAAATAATTTAATCAGTTTGAAATGTTAAAAAATATATTACTATTACTATACTAGTGTTCAAATGTTTGGGGTCAGTAAGATATTTTTATTTAGTAAATTAATACTTTTATTCTACAAGGTGCATTAAATAGATCAAAAGTGACAGTAAAGACATTAATAATGTTACAAAATATTTCTATAAAAAAATGCCACTCTTTTGAACTAAAAAAAAAAAACTATCACAATTTCCACAAAAACATTAAGCAGTACACCTGTTTTCAACATTTATAATAATAAGAAATCAGCAAATCAATTACAAAAATACCAAATCATCATATTAGAATGATTTCTGAAGGATCGTGTGGCACTGAAGACTAGAGTAATTATGCTGAAAATATTCAGCTTCAAAGGAATAAATTAAGTACATTTTAAAATATATTACAATAGAAAACAATAGAAAATAGTATGTAGGCTAGTAATTAAAAATCATAAATGCTGTAAAAGTATTGTTCATTGTTAGTTTATTACACCTAACACTTTACCGTTAACAAATTTAAATCATAACCTATTAAACCTATTTTTAAGAGCAATGTTTCCCACTGATCAGGTTTTAGGTTGAACACTTAATAAAGAGGAATCTCTAATTAGGCTATATGCTGATGGCCTCTCAGTTTATCACCTCACACAATCTTTCCTTTTCTCGATCCCTGGCCAAAGCCTTGTAGTTCAAGCGACCTTGTCTTAGAACGGTCACCCACAGACCTTTATCTCTCCACATGCCTTCCCAAAATAAAAGCAGGTCACTTTTTAAAGAGGCAAACAACTCAGCAAGACGAAGAACATAGAGTGACATTTCTGACAGCTCATGATGTCAGGTTTCAGCAAAAAGACCGGTTGCGTGCTTGGTAATCCAATGCCTTGTTTGAGAATCTAACTTTACTCTCAGTCTTTGCGAGGTAAAAAAGGCATCTGGACCATTTGTTAATTTGAAGTTACCCTAGTAAACATAGGCCTGGGCGATAAAACGGTATCGATATTTATCGACGTGTCATCAGTGGAGCACGAGATGCGGTGATAATGATGTAAGTGACGCTGTTGCATTTTAATGTTTTGTTAGTCTAGCCCTAGGGCTGTCACGATTATGAAATTTGGCTGACGATTAATTGTCTAAAAATAGTCACTCTCAATAAATTGTTAAAAACATTTTTTTCTATTGCTCTTTGTTTTAAATTTTTTTTTTTTTAAATGTCAATAATTATCGATAACGAACAATATGAAACATTATATCGTGGATACATTTTTTAGCTATATCGCCCAGCCCCAAGTAAACAATAACATTTCTGCTGTTTATGAAGACATGCTCAATAAAAATCGTTCCATTTTGTTAGGTCAAACTCTATTTACAAGAACAGCATAGATTAAAATACAATGATAAACAATGAACAAACTGTCACAATACTTTAAGATATTTCAATTTTCAAAAATTTGAAAAACAAAAGTCAAACCTAATTTTACGTCTGTATAAAAAAAAATCCTACTAAATATGCTTAATAGACAATGATGTCTTGCAAAAATCCCTAGAAGGAAGACAAATCAACAGAAATTGCATCTATAGATAAACTCCATTCTACACTGAAAAATAAAATAAAAATATATTAATTATTAATTAATTGTTAAAATCTTACAATAACGTTTTATTTGTTAACATTAGTTAACTACATTAGTTAACATGAACTAACAATACAGCATTTATTAATCTTTACTAATGTAAACATTTGCTAATACATTTTTAAGATCAGAAGTTGCATGTGTTAACATTAGTTAATGCAGTGTGAACTAACATGAACTTTTTATTAACTAACATTAACAGAGGTTAATAAATGCTGTAACAATACATTACTCATTGTTAGTTTGTTAGTTAATGCATTAATGTTAACAAATGAAATCCTTCTAAAGTGTTACCTATTAATTTATTATTTACCTTAGCAACATGGTAATTGGGAGTTTAGTTGTTGCCCATGTAGAGCATTCAAAATCGGTCACTAATGTGTTATCTTTAACTGAAATAAAAATTAGCTAATTGAAATAAAGCTAAAATAAAATTTTAAAAATAGAGGAAAAATTTAAACAAAAACATATATAAAAGAAACTAACTAAAATTTACTAATAATTACTAACTAAATTACTAACAAAATCACAAAGTTACTCAAAAATGTAAAAAAAAAGTAAAATGAATAAATTCTACTACAGAATACAAACAATACTAAAATAACACTGTATGAGATACATGTCATCAAAATCTGCCATTTTTGCTGCTCATAATAGTCAAGCATGAATTCTTGACAATACATTGGGATAAAAACTTGGACAAAAATCAATACTGTACATCACAACGCAAGGACTGTGAGTCATCCTGCAGTTGTTTAATTTATTTATCCTATAAAAGCAGCAGTGAGTGTGTGACTCACCGTGTGGTTTGGTGTGTGTGTGTGTGTGGATAAGATCTTACCCAGCAGCGGTACTTTGTTCTGCAGGAGTTCATAGTAGCCGGAGGTCAGGATGCCCACGGGGCTGCTGGGAGTGAAGCGGCCCACCTTCACGAGCCGTTCACACGTCTTCATCAAGGTGGCAGAGAACTGCGACGGGTCCACGCCGTAATCCCTCCAGCCCCCGACGCCATCTGCAACACCTGAGAGGAAAACAGACCGGGAAAGATATTGTCATTAAGAGTGAAACCAGTTAGTTGGATGTGTGTTAATTTCCTCAACCCTAATAGCTTTAACACCTAACTTCTGACAATCGGATGAAAAGGAAGGAAGAGATGGCGGTTTCTGACGCCGCAGAGACAGATGGCAGCTGCCACAAACCTCCTTCCTGACCTCCTGACTGACTGCGCATTGTGATGGTAATGCAAAACAGCCATCTGCTATAGCACGTCTGACGCCTTCGTTCAACAAAGAGGATGTTAGATGGATATCTTGTGAACCCCTTGAACTCCAAGTAGCTAGTAACTACTGGTTATTCTCTACAAAATCTAATCAGGCAACTCAAGCACTCCCAGCTTCCCATGTGAAAAATGGTACGAACTGCAGACATTTAATTACATCCTCAAAAAACACTGTAAATTAAAGGCATTGTAGGTGATTTGGTTCAAAAACATTTTTTGTTATGCTGCTGGCTGAAAGTCTCTTCACATCCCGATAGCAGTTACAAGTTAAGTGGTCTAAATTTATTCATATCATCTGTGGAAGGTGTAAGATTATAAAATGTTCGTCCAATCATATTCCTTGGTCCGAGCCCGAGGGCTACGATAGGCTGTTCTACCTGCCTGTCAACGTCCATACAGCGTTCGCACAGACATGATACTTCATCAGCGCGTTCATTACGCCATTACAGACCAAGCAAGAATGGAAGGCGAAGGCGTTATTATTGTAATATTATGCCCTTTGTATCGTAATGTTTTCTCAGCGGTGAATGAGACATGAGGTAATATGACACGTTACATTCAACCCTCCACCAACACAGTCTCTCATTGTGTCGCTGGTTAGCCTCTGGTCTGCTTGTGCACGCTCATGTGTTTTGGAGGAGGCGTGGCTTTGGAGAGTGATTTGCAGGGAGGGTGGGATCTTATGCTTTCAAAGCTAGCTTGCTATTGCTGGCCTCTATGAAATCACCTACCCTACCTTTAAATTCAACAATTAACAATTAGTCACAAAAGGAGCTGAATTTAAAATTGCTACCATTTTTGATAGTAGTTGGCTACACAACAGAAAATGGTATAACCAACATATTGAATGATTGAATCGCCTTGCTTGGCTAATTTTCGACAGCCAAATCTAGTCATTTCAAGGAATCCACACAACTTTGAATTTCGAGTGAATATTTCGCAGTGGGTTTAGTGATCTCTGTGTGAGCTGTGCTTTATATATTACTACATTATTGATTATTATTGGAGATGTGAAGAATTAAAGATTGGTGCGACTTCTTGGCTTAAAGGGGTCATATAACGTTGCTAAAAAAAGAACATTATTTTGTGTATTTGGTGTAATGAAATGCGTTTATGCGGTTTAAGGTTAAAAAAAAACACATTATTTTCCACATGCTGTACATTATTGTTTCTCCTCTATGCCCCGCCTTTCCAAAGAGAAAGGAAAACTTGAAATCGCATCATATGACCGCTTTAATTAAAAGAGAGCAAACTTGCTGTGGATTTCATATTTTTATATTTTAGATGTATATGTTGAAATATGATTTTAAAATAGAGAATTATTCCATGTTGAAAGCAGCTTAATAAGGCTGCAATATAATACAGCATTAAATACTATGACGCTGTGTTTTGACATGATACACTGCTACTTTCCTTATTACTGGTAAAGTTTCATTATTTTGAAAACAAGCAAGCTACTGTCACAATGCTGGAGAATGTTGTTAGTAGTGTCTCTACTTTTAGTTAGTCCCTTCCTAACACCAATACGGTGACATCTCACTCTGACTAAACAGTGTAACCACACACACACACACACACATCAAGAATTCAGAGATTGCATGGGCTCAAAGGGAGATCCAGGCTCAAAAGGAATGAGGGGCGACTTATCAGAGTTAAACACAATTTAGAGAAGCACAAATCAAGCTACCATTAACATTTCAATGGAGCTTTGCAAACAAGACCAACTGTTCATCACAAGGCTGCAAACATAGTGGTGTTAGAGTAGGAAAAAATACTTCGGAATGGGAGTATGGGACAATATAACTTGGCAGATACTGTATCGTAACACTTCTCAGGAAGAAACGTTTATTATAACACCACATAGACGACCAACATCCAGGCCAAATCGTGAGGTCAGATAAGCGATTCCATGACTCAAATCTTTATTCCACAACATTTGTATTTAGTTTCATTATACATTAACCTGAGACGACCATATTTACCATAGCAAAAGAGCTAAAGAAAACTGCTCTCAGAGGAAACATCCATCTGTTTTCACCAGCACACACTTGAAGGCAGATTCCAGCGCTGCCATACAACAAGTCCACTTTATGTATCAAGGCGCAACTTCCTTGTGACAAACAGTCACCCAGAGAGCATATGTGCAGCATCTGTATTCAACAGGCTGTGTTAAATGACAGATGTGTTGGCTTTTAATAAAGTTGTTCATGGCGTGTCGTCATGTGACTCCCTAAAAACAATGAAATTTATAAATGTGATAACTATATTTAAAAAAAAAAATTTATATAAAATTATAATAATATACAAATATAAAAAAATATTAAGATGTGCACACTCACATGAAGCAAGGTGAAGGAAAATACAATATTGTATTTTACATTTTTACAGTCATTCAATTGAAACTTTTCTTGAAAATGGCATAGTCATTTGCAAGACTAAATTAAACAATTGTGAATGGAAAGAGAATATTTCAAAGAACTTGATGCATTTAAATGACATACTTTTATGTTTTTCCATGTTCTTTATTGTAAAAATGTCTTTAACCCATTGTATTTATTAACTGAATTAAAATGGGTATCACTGCCATTTTTAATATTTAATACCTCAACATATTATAAACATGCACTGCACGATTTGGGGGAAAAAATCTAAGTGAGATTTTTCTGATCAAAACTTTCTGATACTTTAAAATGCAATAAAAAATCCAGGTTTGCTGTGCTTTTTGTAGAGCTGTATAAGTTGGGGAAAATGTTGTGATTTTATACATTCAAAACATTTTAAATGTTTTTTTTTAATGAAAAACTGGTGGATAATGAGCTGCTCGGGTGTAAACACAGCGTCACACTTCACTTCACTCTGAAACATGCAGCGCATATATTTATTTAAATCGCAGCCTTCACAATTTGATAATCATACTGATGAGTCGTGTAGTGATTACAGGTTTATTTTGATTAATTAAGCAGCCCTAACTTTATCAATTCATGATATATACTTTGAGATATAACATGTTACCATATATAAAGACTTTGGAGGTACCATCAACCCCTATCGGAACATGATTGAAATTAACACATTATTTCCAGTTGGCACAACAAAGGCCACTATAAATAATAAACCTGAAACCTCTAAGCAAGCAGTCATTTAGTCTTAGAAGATCATTTTTTTATTGCAGTTAAATGGAACATCAAATGTCTGCAAAAATTGATAAAAAGCTAGTCGTGATTGGTGCCCATGTTTGGCAGTAATCGCTGCTGGATTAAAGTATGTGTCTGTCTGTGACCGAGCACATCTCTGAGATCTCCTGGAAAAGAGTTTCACTGAACACCTCGCATCCAACTGATAATGTGATTTCAAAGGTTCACACTAACAAGGGCACCAAATAAACCCTTGAGATGTTTCTTCCTGTTTTTAAGACCAGCTCATTAGGCTAATTGGAGTGGAAAGTGAAGATCATCTACTGACCTTTAAAGACTTGTGATAGTAAACAGAGTTCGCTAGACTCAGTGGACAGAGACAAAGACATTTAAAAAGAAATCAAGTATATAATGGGAGATGAGTCAAACCAACTTTAATTTGAAGCAAAAAAGTATTTGAAGATTGGACAAAAATACAAAGGTACAAGTCTGTACTTAACAGCTTTAATGGGGGAATGAACTACAATCCCATGAAGCCTCACCAGTGACATAAAAAGATGGATAAATATAGAACTATTGATTTAAATATGCTGATTGCACATATAGAAGCAGCAGTTACATTTATTGCGAAATATGCATATTTACACAAATATTTAAGCAAATTACAAGCGCAGGGAAACTGAATCAAATCATTTGAGCGCTTCATTTTGTTATGATTCTCTGATTGGTGGAGATTTTGCTACAGAATCATGGGTAATGTAGTTTTTCACCAGAAAGTTTGCTGTTAAACACCATTACTTGAAAAATACGTTAAAAATAAATGGGCTGATGGCTTCAACAAAAGCATTTACTATTGTTTAACAATCTTGTAGCTCACAGTAGGCCTGTCTGTAAATGCTTTATAAGTTATAGTTGAAAATCAATTTCCTCATTGAGAAATTTCAATTGGATTTTTACTTGTGGAACCTGACTGTTGCAATCTATATCCCCATAACAACCACCAGAACAACTGCATAGCAACGCACTAGAACAGTGACAGAGACCACTTTAGAAAATGCTAAAGAGTTGTTTGTAACGGATTAATAGTAGTCAGTAACTAGTATTCTGAGGTAAATTATGCAGAACAAACAGCTGGCCTGCTACTCACGTGCTGCCGAGTCTGTAACAAAAGCCGGTGACCATTCAGTGTAGCACGTGAATGTAACGGGGAACTCTTAAGTTTTCTTGTATTTTGTTAACTTGAGAAAATTATTCCGAGTTTTCTCAGTGACAACTATTCAGTATTATTTAAGGTTGTAGAAATGCTAGAGAACATTTCTGTGGGTCAACGAGAGGACAATGAAGCCGCCTGTGTGTGTCGCTGGAACGTGGATGTGATTAAACAACATGGCCGCCTCCATGCTCAACCATTCTGACCTTTACAAAGAGCTCCTGTAACATTTACAAGCGAGCCCTTGACACTCCTACATAATATAATCGAGTTAATGCATACATGTTTTATGCATACAGCTCATAACATTCTTTAAACAGGTCGAATTACTTAAAACATCAATATTCACCGTGTAAATTACATTTATAGAGTCAAAACACACGCGATCGGGGAAATCTATTAATGTTACGCACGCCAGACTTTAACCCTACAGTCTATGCTTTAACCACGTGTCAATTATATGCGTGTTTCCATGATGGAAATGTTTTACGGGGAAATCATTCTAGTTTCCGCCGCTAGTCGCGCTTTGGGGGTTCAGTCTGGCATCTTTCTGGGTGAAAGGTCAACTTGTGTTACCCAAGCTCATTTGCATTAAATTTAGATTTTATATGCATGATATGATATATAATATTTATAATCGGTTGCCTGGCTGCTACATATTTAAGGAACGCGTGTTAAATCTACATGCGGGATCAGGAAAATCCTAAAGATTCACAAAGAGGGAGGTTATTTCAGGTGAGGGCTGGACTAATCGTGCCTCACACCCCTCCATCACGAACCGAGTGCTGACATTAACCCATGAAGGTCATTTTCACAAGTCCCTAACAAGCTGGTCACCGTGCATATTTGTGCCAAAACAACTGATATATAACACACTGAATTTTGGTGGCGCTCACCCAGAACATCCGCGGACTTGTGCCGGGCAATGAAGCAGGCATCATCGCCGTAACACATGCCCTTCTTCAGGATCCCCTTGCGAAAGTCCTTCCCGAAGCCGCAGCTGGCCGTGATCAGGCGGTAATCTCTGCCGTCCGTTTGCGAGAGTCCGCCCAGGACAGCCCTGGCCACGATCCTGCCATAGGAGAGTACCGATAACATCCCCTGCGGTGTACGGTAAGCGTGTAGCCCGTGTCCCGTGTCTCTAGGATCTGAGCACCGACATTCGGCTCCGCGCGCCGCAGAGGAAGCACACCAACCAGAGCAAGCCGCTTTAAAGTTGATACAAACGCCCTTTCTTCTTCAGTGAACGTCGGACGCGTGAGATATACGGCTGTTTTATGTCTTGGATAAAGTTTCTCCAGTACACTCCATCCTATCCGACATCCTCTAGAGTCTAGTGTACTCACTCACACCAGCGCCGTGTTCCGGAGACAAGCACATACGGGCTCTGAGGTCACGTGACCTGCTGCGGTGACGTCAGAGCGTAGTAGAAACCCAAGGACGTAGTGGAAGAACACGAGCGCTTAAACTGAAATATCGATTACTCTTGTGACTTCTGTGGAGGTGACAAGGACACCATTTTCGTTTATTTTTCCATTGCATACAATATTAAACTATTCTGTGTTGCCGTGGAGCATTTAAAGGGGTCATATGATGCTGCTAAAAAGAACATTATTTTGTGTATTTGGTGTAATGAAATGTGTTTATGTGGTTTAGGGTTAAAAAAACACTATTTCCCACATACTGTACATCAGTGGTCGCCAACCCGTCGATCGCGATCGACTGGTAGATCTTTATCACTGTCCCAGTAGATCCCGAAAAAAAACAGTAAAATAAGTACAAAAATGCATTACATTTCTGGGGTTATATTAATGTATCACTGAAGGGAACTGTCTTGAGAAAAGTGTCGATGGCAATGGCATTTTCTTCTCCATATAAAGCGCAACTCTGCTTTGTTTACAACGGTAAACAAGGAAACGCTATAGTGCGGTCGGTTTATAAGCAGTGTTGCCAAGTCCGCGGTTTTCCCGCAGCAGATATCGTCCTCTTTTGGAAGGCCGAACAAAGTATATTCGCTTTCACAACGAATCACACAGCTCTTCACGACATGGCGGCGGCAGCAACAAAACTACAGCGAGAATAAAAGTTACGCCTTCTTTCTTTGCGTGAACATTTGGGCAGCGTTATGCAAATCTTCCCACATCGTGACGTAGGTATGTGGGGGCGTGTTAGAACGAGCCGTTTTAGGTAGGTGTGGCTGACTCTTAACTTTTATAAAGAATATTTCTTTGGATTTGAGACTTTAGTCTTTGCAACTTTACAGATCTTCTTTATGCACCAAGAGCTTGTAACACTCCAAAGAGAAAGGAAAACTTGAAATAGCATTATATGACCCCTTTAAATTGAAACTTTGCTTTACAACGTTGCTTTAGAGTTCATTTTAATGGGAAATTTTCACATTGAAAACATGAAATGGTCTAACTCCAAAGTACAAACCAAATTTCCCTCACTTTAAAATGATTTTAAAGCAGCACTATGTAACTGCGCTTTAGCGGTTAATAAACAGAACTGCACACATGCCGCGGAAGAACATTTCAACCGGAGCTACTTCTTTAAGTTTATGTCTATGGCGATTCACGCAGGTATGTGTTACTCCACAGCGGTGACAACCCGAACAGGCTACAACAGTCCAAATATAAGTGTACCGTAGTGATTCGGAATAAGACAAAAACGCGGTTTGGATGAATTCATGATGTACTCGCTCATTATATACATTTTGCAAATTTTGAACACAGAAAAAGATACATAGTGCTGCTTTAAATTCTGCAGCCTTCACTCGCAATCCCACAATGCATTTCACTTCCTGGATACCAATGACAACGCGCAGTATCCAAGCATGGCGGTGTTGTGTTGTCTTATTATTTTGATATATTTAGAAACCGCGCTTTGCATTGAAGACACGAACACTACAGGAAACGTTAATATCACACTCAGAGACACAAACGACACGTCTGCTGATCGAAACGAATCGCTTGATTTCACGGATCTTGGAGTCAGTGAAACTCCGGAGTATTTCCCAGCTCCAACAGCCTGGACTCCAGAATCTGTGACGGCGTTCCCGGATCAGACCGAGTCCTCGGAGAGCTCCATCCCCGACACGAGCCCCGAGTCCCCGCGAGCAGCCACAGCAGCTCAGCCTCTGCCGCTGTCTGGCGTCCTTCCCGCGCCGCTCACCGAAGGTGAGAATGCACATATTCATCTGTATGTGATGCCTTACAAAGTGTGCTTGTTTACTCGTGTCCTCTTTCCCCTCAGTCCCTCAGCTGTGTCTGTGCAATCTTCAGGACGGGCAGTGCGACATAAACTGCTGCTGTGATCCGGACTGCACTGAGGAACTGGCCCTGTTCACTGACTGCACAGTAGAAAGAGTCAGGTCAGCTTTGTTTCGAGTAGAAGCTGGAATAGTGGTTTAACCCATACCATATACATATCTAAGATTTAAAAAAAAGTAACATTCAATTGAATAGTTCACTCAAAAATGAAAATTCTGTCATCATTTATTTTCATTCCATAATTGTATTATTTTCTTTCATCAGTGGAAAACAAAAGGTGATTTTAATTTTGGATGAATTAATTATTTAATATGATCCATAGCCATGGAATTTATTCCTGATATATGTTCTATTAAAAACATAAAGATTATATTAACATTATTTGCTCTTCATTGTTTAGTTTACATTTGGTACTTTTTCATTCTTGGAGTTTGCACAGTTAAACTTTGTTCTGACGTTATTGAATTTATTCAGCATTATATGAACCACAATTTTGATTTGACTTTTAGAAATGTGATTTTGCTGAATATGGGGGGAAAATGTCAAATATTTTTTACTTGTATCAAATATAGTTTCTTATATAAATTATTTATTATAAAAAAGAAAAGAATTTAAGTATTGATCTGATATTTACTCTCGTATATACCAAGTAGCATATCTATAAGTATACATTTTAAAATAACCTTTTTTCTGGTATTTAAATATGAATTGAAAACATAGTTTGAGTCTCAGAATTTGAATTCAGTGTTCAAGTGTTATATTATCTGATAATTTGAGGACCAATTGGGACGAAATATTTGTGATATTGTAATAAAATATTTATGATGGGACATTCTCTGGTTTGATTTTGTATTTGGTAACTGACAGTGATAGCCTAAGATAAGATGCTGACATGGCATTAAATAAAAATATACTACTACTACTACTGACAGTGATTAAAGTGAAATCCTGATGTGTTACTGTGTTCCACTGTCTATTCAGTAAAGACCCCAGACTGTGCAACCAGGATTCAGCTGTGCATACCCTGAGCTCTACACAAGAGGATTTATCTAGTGTCCAGTCCACTGTCCAGCGAGACGTCAACCCAGATGTCTTCTGTATTCAGTCTGCTAACTGTATGGGAATCCTTTTATGGCATTTTGAAGTCTTTCGAGTTTTTAATTGAATTATTAAGCTCTTATACACCCTTTATTCTTTATACAACCTTTTAAAATGCATTTATGATATATATTAATTCATGATCAAGCTGTGAACCCTGCTAGCCTTATTCAGACAGGCTGTATTTACAAGCAAATATTTTCAATCAGTTTAAAATCCATCCTTGGTTCCTTTTTAGATGAACAAGGTTCAACATTTGCTACACCAGAAGTTCCCACTGAGGAGAATTTTGACTCCCTTTTTGGTCGATTTTTGGGATTCTTTGGCCGTTCGAGAGTGACCAGCGCACTTCAAAGCCCTGATGTGGGAAATTCATCAGGATACCAGGTAAAGTTTTTGAATATTTGATAGTTAATGAAAATGAATGTGTGACTTTCTTTCTTCTGCAGCATAGAGTACCATGTCCAATTATAATCTGGATGAGTTTGTTCTGACACTTATATTAGCATCAGGTTTCATAGGAAACAGCGCTGAGTTAGATTTAATATGATTGTAACCCCTCAGTGCTTGTACTGATTTGATATTTTGCTCTCTCTGTCAATGTTTTCCTTTTATCAAAGAACATATTGATTTCTAAGATGTCAGGATGGATGGTTTTCTGCAGAAGTGGAAAGCGTAATTGGATTGCTGTAGATCCATTTCCCATTTAACATCACATTTGTATCAATGTATTGTATTAATTTTCCCCCGAAAACACTATTTGAATCACCTTTGTTACCACTGTTTAACCCTCGAAAGCATATGAAACATATGACATATGAAACAGTAGTCCAAAAATTGACAATTTTTTTTTTATGGAACAGTTTATTGAAGACATAATCTAAAAATAGTTTTCAGGCTTTTATGGCTTATAATGAGAATATGGAGCTCAAACTTGAGGTGAAAAAACATCCTAGTTTTATTCAGAGGCCTAAAAATTTGCAATTTCATACAGTTGCTGATGTTTATATGGCATAAAAAGTGAGATAAGTTATAATAGCTTGTAAATCAATGAGATCTTTATAACAAAATACCAACTGGATATATATTTCTACCAATAATATGCTATTTGAATGATCTGTTTTATGATCAAAACTCTGTATTTTTTTTATTGTGGGGCAAAACATATAATGCAATGCAATATAATGAAGACTGAGATCCTGATGGATCATATTTGATACTCGCATTTCAACATGATTTTTCTAAAAAATGATGTATGGATAATCAGGTAAACCTTTGATCAAGTTGATAATTTAGAGGTCAAAATATGATACAGTAGGTTTCATAAGGTTAAGCAATGTTTCTGTCTCTGTTCTGTCTTCAGTATGGAGAAGTCATTCAAACAGTGAATGAGGCTGAAGAGCAGGGACTCTTCACCTTTCCTGCCTCTGCAGGAACAGCTCACTGCTTAGACGCAAACCCTGCTGGTAAGACAGAACTTATTCTGAAGAAAATGTTAGTGCTGCATGTCCAAACAGTTGCGGCCACAATGCTAGTTGAATTGTTGACCCATTTTAATAGCAACAACAAGATTCATGGTTTGAGGTCACATTTATATCTGCAGCAGTGTGATGTGTAGGCTTAGAGTTTTAGTGATCCTTTCCTGTTTGCATTGAACCACATGCACTAGATGTTCTAGTCTGTTGCTAAACATAGCTTACCCTGCTGTTTTACAGGTTTTCTGAAGGACCAGACAAGCAGATGTATGAGGAGCTTTGATTTAGTGCAAGATTGTGAAACACTAGAAGCTCTGCGCTTGGAAACTTATATTAATTTCAACATCCGTTCTGTGAGTTCTTCACCACGTCTCAGTTTGTAAAGAGTTTTATTGTTGCTATGCTATTTAACAACTCTTGTTTTGTCTCTAGGGGAAGATCCAGGAAGCTAAAGTAAGTTTCAATGATGTACTATTTGCATTAAAAACATTGACTCTGCATATTAATTTGACATGCTTCATTGCTTTCTGTTTGTTACCTGAGGTCATTGGTGTGGAGGTGGCAGCCATTACTCTGCAGTCTTTAGAGGGCACACAGACACCAGTGGACGCAGCTGACCTTGAGTCTTATATTCCTGTGCTTCTGGAGTCTGGTGACGTCTGCAACAACGTTGTACTGCAGGTGTGCACATAATGAATATGTTACTAGTCTCTCAGGAATATGAAAAGTATCAGGAATCATAAACTGTTTAACAAAATCATAACTTTTACATCAGGTGAAGTATACTTTCAGATACAGTGAAGCTGGGGAAATCCTGAATGCGATAGCATCAGTTTTGCTGGGAGCCATTAAAAGCATTACGGTGCCCATTCAGCAAGAGTTTCAGATTACATTCTTGCAGGTATTTAATTCTACCCTTTTCATATTTTCTTGAAAGAATTGTAATTATTTCAAATGTATTATTTTATTTAAATATTGTCAAATATTTTACATTTTATTTTACAAACAGGAAGTAATAGTTTTGTGTACATCCATTGACAGGACATCTCTAGCACGCCAGTGTTGCAATGTAGTGGCAATCCTGGCTATGTGGTGGGACGGCCCCTAGTGGCTGGGACAAGAAAAGCAGAATATCCTTTATCATAAACTCTTTGGACAGAAGTCTCCTTTGTGATGAAACATAAACAATTACATCATTCATTTTTCTTTAGCATTAATTTAATTTATTCCCTGATATGTACAACACATTTTTTCCCTCAGCTGTTTAGACATATTTTCCTCAACTAAGTTCAGGGCAACTAAAACAATTAAAGGGGTCATATGATGCTTTTTTAAAGATCATTATTTTGTGTATTTGGTGTAACAGAATATGTTGACATGCTTTAATGTTCAAAAAACACATTATTTTTCAAATACTGTACATTATTGTAGGTCCTCTATGCCCCGCCTCTCTCAAACGCTTCGTTTTCTACAAAGCCCCCTCCTTGGGGGCGTGGCAGAGTCTTAACTTTGATAAAGAATATCTCTTTGGTTTTGAGACTTTAGTCTTTGCAACTTCAGGGATCTTATCTATGCACAATCAGCTTGTAACACTCCAAAGAGAAAGGAAAACTTGAAATCGCATCATATGACCCCTTTAACAAAAACATCAAAGCACATTTTATTTTGCCATACAGCTCCAAAAATGTCCACCACAATGTTTCGGATATTTTTAAAACCAATCAAAATTTGAATCTATTAATTATATTCAGTAAATAGGGCCAAGTTAATAATAATATGTGTATTGGTGGAATTTCAAATATTAATTATTAATATTGTCTAAGGTTTCTAAAAATACCCCATATGTTGTGTGTATGGCATGTTAATAATTAATGTCAGTAATCTGTAATATCATCATGAAAAATATTCATACAAATTACAAAAATTCTGCACCTAAAAGAAAATAAATGTGGTGATAAAGATAACTCTCAGCAACATTCATTTTGATCCCATATAAAGGTTTTAAGATTATTTCATAAGTATGCTAATTTTTCATTTCCATAATAGATTTTAATAAATAAATGCAAAGCCTGTTGTCGATCAAAGCATCCACCTATGTGGCACAGTCCTTGACCCCTGTTTTACTGGGATAGTTCAGTCTGCTAACCCAAAAGGATCACTCACTATCCTTCAAAACTCTGGAGAGCAGGATTGCTTGTCTGGGTCATCTCGGCGCTCCCCTGTCCTGTTTGGGATTGACATGGTATCAGGCTGCACTCTGAAGTAAGAGGCTATTGTAATGATTTGTTTTCGTGAATTAGACAAGTATTGTCCAACAACAATCAAGTATGTAATATTCATCACCATTACTATTTTATGTGCATTAATGTACTCCCTTTCTGTAGGTTGTCCGATGGAGTTAATTGTTCTCTGGTATCTGAAGTCATTTTGTGGGCGCTAAAAGGCCAGAGCTTTCCGGACCATGTAGCTTCATTTGGGAATTCCTTGCCTCAAAACCCCCTGGACTGGGTTCCAATACAGAACCAAACCATAGCATTGGTAAACAGCCTACTTATTATTATTTTCCTCTATGCGTGGCATGGAGAACTGGTGCTGAAGTGAAAGAGAAGTTAGAGGAAATGTTGACATGTAAACTTGGCTGGCGGTCACCATGATGATGCAAAGCTGATTTGTAAACCACTGTTCGTTATATTTATTTATAACGAATGTCTTGCTTCACTCTTTTTATGGTTTACCAAGGGTACACAGGCTTGCAGCATACCACTGTCTTACCATCTTGAAGTAAAATGGACCAAGTACGGAACCTTGGTGAACCCCCAGGCTCAGATTGTGAGCGTCATGGAGACAATCATTACTAACACCAGCAGTTTGGCAAGTTAAACATTCCAAAACATTGTACATGACTTTCAGCAATTATGTAATAGTTGTATTTAGTAAACACAAACTCGTTTCTCTTATCACAGTTAAAATTGTGTCGAAGGTCAACATACAGTGGATGCCCATAAAGTGTTTTTAACACATTCAACTTAATGGGAGTGTATCACACTGTTTTACTTCTCTACTACAAAAGCATGGCTCAATATTACCCTCAATTTTAGGTCTTTCATAAAGTCATTGCCGATTTCATGTGAAATTAGATATAAAGTTAACACTAGAACCTTTCTTTGTTTTAGGCCCTCCTTATCAGTGCCGATGGTCTTCTGTCTGTCACAAGCTCAGTGAGTTTTGTTGATGTCTCTGCATCTGCCAGTCCAGGATTCAAAGCTCCTCCTACAATTGATGCTAAACTACCCTTTGACTTTTTCTTTCCATTTGTATAATGGAATATTTTAGTTTTTCTCTCTTTTGGCAACAACATGAAAGGAGGACCACTGTTTCTATAACCATGTTTCTTTTAAAATTTTGTCTTACTTGAAGTTATAGTGTATATTTATTGTCTAGTCATTTTGTATATAATGCACTGATTCACATTTTTAAAAATAAAGAATATTTTCATATTAGTGGACTGATGTGGAACAATAGTGGTATATACAGTATATGTATACATGTGTGTGTGTGTGTATACAGTGCAATTCAATTTCAGTACAAAGACATGCACAAAATGAGGAATGAACAATTTTTTATAATATTTACTCAAAACTCACTAAAACATTTAAGAACAGAAAATGTGCGCTATCCATTGTAAAATCTGTTGTTCATTTTGGAACTTACATGAGCGAAATGCCACTACTCTTAAGCCCAATTCATCAGCCAGGCAGATATGTTGGTCTATTAAGATTTCATATCTCATTTATAAAATAATATTTATTTCTTAGCTTTCAGTTGCTCAAACACATTCACATTTATAATGAGAAAACATTAAATGTACACTTCATAGATAAAACAACAATACTGATAATGATTTTGGAAAATAGTGATTCAGAATAAAAATCAATCATCTTACAATCTATTGAGGCAAGTTTAATATTCCAGTATATATAACTTGTGTAGTTTATAGATTTCCCTTTTTTTGTAATTTGACCTATATGAGTCACTGGCTTTAAAAAGCATCTCCCTTTATGTGTGCTGTTAAAGATCTGCCAGGGGATGGAGATTGAGTTTGGCTTAGAGTGACAATAAACACACTGTAACATGACCTTCTTCACATTTCATATGGAATGAATAGACATGATTAGTCTTAAGCTCAGTCTCATGCTGTGATGTGTTTAATGAATAGCCTTGGAGCATCAAAATTCAATGCAGTGCTGTTTTAAGATTGCACGAAGCCTTGCATTTTCTTGATCCTGTTGAAAGATTAAATTAAAACCACAATCAATTTAATAATTAATAAAAGGAATCATTACTCGTGTTTAACAAGAGCTACTCACCATTTTTGTGTTCCGCTCTTTAAGTTCATTGACTTGATGAACAAGGTTTTCATTGATCTCCTTTATTTTCTGAACTTTGTGATGGGCACGATTTTTCACAGACATAATGATACCTATAAGAGAGCAAACAAGTAAGAAAGGCAAATAAAAGTATTAGAGTAGAGATTAGAGGATAATGCAACAGCCGGGTTCCAGAAGTAAAACTTACATTAATTTTGTCCATAGAGATATAGATTTTTAGTGATACTATACATAAACATATAATTAATTACTTAAGTAAAATGGACCAAGTACTGAACCTTGGTGAACCCCCAGGTTTAGACTGTGAGCATCGTGAAACAATCATTACTAACACCAGCAGTTTGGTAGGTTAAACATACCAGAACATTTTTCATGATTTTCAATTGTTACATAAAGTTTTATTTAATAAATATCGTCAATAAATAGTTTTATATTTTACTGAAGTTTTTGACTTGATTACACATTTGCAATGTTTCTTAGTAAGAAAAATTCATTCCCTCACGAAATAATTTATGTATACAGTGCTTTCATATTTTTTCTGATCCAAATTGAAGTTCTAATTTTAGTTGCTGGGTCAAAATAATTCCCGTACCATTTATGATCCTGGCCACTCTCCACAACCTGAGCAAGATCAGAAGCCCCATGGCATCAAATGCATCTTCCTTTGAGATATATACAATATCCAGGATGAAGGATACCACCACCACAATCCCATCAAACACCTCAAACTTATGGTGGAGGAATTCTAAACGATAGGCATAGATTTTTCCAGACAGTTCCACCATGAAGAATGTGAGAAGGGTGAGGCTGAGATAGTGGAATACCTGGAATAATGGCAGGAACATTCTGATAGAGGATAACCACAGAATAATCGCTGACATATAATGTCATGTGTCAACAGAAATATGACATCCATGTTTTTTTGCTGACTAGGCATCTGAAGCAGACTCACCTGCGGAGCGATTCTGTGATGATCTGCTTGAATGATAGACAAGTCAATAAGCAACTCGCACAGAACGAAAATGGCATCCAAGATGACCAAGCAAACAACAACAATCTAATCAACAAAATAACAGTTCACGGTTATTTTCAATCATGTAAACAACATTCTATATCTATATACATATACAAATAAAGAGTGCAAACGTTTACCTGGAACCTCTCTGTACTGTAGAGGCGGCGTAGGGAGTCCCTGAAGCTGACCTGTCCCAGGTGCTGTCCTGTGGCAAGCTCCAGGTCTTCACTGGCATCGTGCGGTTCCTCGTCGTGCCCCTGTGTGGCGGTGTTTTGCTCATCACCCACTGCTGTGAAATGCCTCAGAAAACGGGACATTTTTCTCGGGGGTCACCTGAGTTAATAAAATTAATTAATAAAAAATAAAATTAATAATTTTTTATTTGTATTTGAATCATACATTCAATATTCAAATTTGTGACTGTCTTAAATTATGGCGAAATTTCATCTTGAAGACAGCTTGAACCAAATGTAGGTGAGACTGGGGCTAGTTGTCACACTCAAGTGAATATTATTTTCTCAGGGCATTTATTAAAGTAAATGTATGTATAGACACGTGCCCTACAATCTTGTTCCAAAAATATATATCATTTAACGATAACACTATTACAAGAAACATACAGTTCACTGACCAATAGCAGGCATAAGCTATTGTTTTCATATGGAACCAGCTATTAAAGATCCAATTACAGGCTTCATTTTCAAGATTTAAACATTAAAACGCGGTGTTGAACAGTATTAAACAAAACCGTTAATGAAACAGTCAAAAATGTAAACGGTATAATCATAAATTCAAAATAAATAACATTAAAACATAAGAGTTAACTTGTCACAACCTGATAAATAAATAGATCCTGGGAACAACGCATTAGTTAAAATCTTTAGTTTGTAGGCTATATTTGATTCTTGTCTGGCTCTTGTTTTATTGTGTTTGTTACTCAACAGCAATTACATAAACTTGATGATACTGAAATTATAGAAAATAATTAAGAGGCAAAAACACATGTAGGTTAATCAAATCTAAAATTTGTTGTATGAAAAGACAGTTCAATATAGTCACACTATCGACACTTTAAACGGCGTAATTTCCCCATTTTTACCTTGTATAAAAAGTCTTGCATGTCACTATATGTTAAGAAACATATCATTTAACGATAACACTATTACAAGAAACATACAGTTCACTGACCAATAGCAGGCATAAGCTATTGTTTTCATATGGAACCAGCTATTAAAGATCCAATTACAGGCTTCTCAACAGCTGTTACTCAACAGCAATTACATAAACTTGATACTGAAATTATAGATAATAATTAAGAGGCAAAAACACATGTAGGTTAATCAAATCTAAAATTTGTTGTATGAAAAGACAGTTCAATATAGTCACACTATCGACACTTTAAACGGCGTAATTTCCCCATTTTTACCTTGTATAAAAAGTCTTGCATGTCACTATATGTTAAGAAACAACGCCAAACAATTTATACAACAGTGCAGCAGATCTCACTACAAAATATGCCAGTATAAAGCGGGGTTTTTTTCTGTCTATTGTGTGACACTTGTCTACATGCTTCATAAAACACTGACTCTTCATCCGTGACCTGAGCTTAACTCGTGATTTCCTGCAACATTTGAACATTTATGTCAGCGAATTTACACACACTTTTACGAATATCGAACGAGTAAATGTAAGAAACTTTATTGACTTTAAGGCAATCTGGACACTTTAATTCTAATTTCACATGAATACGACAGTAATATTTACATTTTTCAGGTTATTTAGTAGATCTATTTAATGCGCGCTCAGTTTAAAAGGAACGAAAAGTTAAAATGATGCAAAATGAGTAGGCTTACCTGCTTTGTTGCTGAAACAATGTTGCTAACGGCTAACGCAGCATTTGTTCGCAGTTTTTGGGAGCAATAATCCAAATTCTGTGAAAAACGTTGACCCTAAACTCCGCCTCTACTACAGTCATGAACGTGATCCACTGCACAGGATGCAGCCTTGGAAGTGACATGGAAGATCTTTCCCAAATCCTTGGACATATTACAGGAATGTGCACGGGACCAGATAACTAGTGACCTGAAGAAGTAGGCTAATCAAACGATGTATTATTTTAACATGCATTGGGAGGTTTTAATGAAAACTGAATAGCTAAATGGAAAGGTATAGTTTCAAAGTTAAAAAGTTGATAAGTCAGATAATAGATAGATAGACAGACAGACAGACAAATATACAGACAGATAGATAGATAGATAGATAGACAGACAGACAGA